AGCAACCGAAGCTAAACTGACTACTTGCTAAGCAGTTTTCTACAGGCACTTTTTACCGACGTATTTTTCATTATGATTCTACTTGTGATAGTCGGACATGACAACCTGTGCAGCCCATGTATTGATTCCATCCGATAGCTGCTATAATAACAAACAAAACGTCTGCCTGCTCTCCACAATGATCAATAACAGCGAACGGATGGTCAAAGTAAGGTACAAATAAACAGAATCACACGAAGCCTGGTTAGTGTTGCCTGACTTTATAAGTGTGTTTTTTTTAACAAGTGTGTGGTTGCGTTCTAGTCACTTTGCTCAGCACTACTGCTTGTTACAACTTTTATTTGCCGTACTCGCCTTAACTGTTATCTCAGGTTAATCTCGCCCCCCTCCGACGTAAGCGTGACGTATGCGGTTCTTGCTTCTAGACGGACAACTTTTTGGTGCTCGAAACGAACCGGATTCCGGAGCTATGACGCTGCTCCGCTGCGGTGTGAACAGGAAAACCCGGTGCTTTTCAAGCACCAGCACCGAACCGGCCCTGAAACACCGTTGGTGTGAAAGGGGTAAAAGTGGTCGAGGACAGCAGGGCACAGAAAAGGAGCAGGATCTGGGGTAGCACTAGTGTGGGCTAGCCTAAGAGCAGATACTTTTTCGATAAAAAATGTAAGAAATGTATCACAGAGAGTAGACGATGGCACAATTGGAGAAACATCACAGGGATTAATGATAGAGTTGAGGACATTAAAAAGAACCTGAGGTTTATGGCTGTTTTTGGAGATTAACAGAGAAATGTGCTCTGTTTTGGCTGCTTTGACTGCCGTCTGGTAGTCGGAAAGGCAAGCACGAAGGATTTCTAGGGAGACATGGAGTTTATCCTTTTTCCATTTTCTCTCTGCACGCCTGCAGGTGCTTCTGAGAGCACGAGTACAGTCATTGAGCCACGGCTCTGAGAGAACTTTGGTGCGTCTAAGCCTAAAAGGAGCAACAGAATCCAGTATTAGGGTACATGTCGAGTCAAACATGGAGATAAGCTCATCAGCACTAAAAGCACAGTTCACCTCTAATTTACAGATCGGAGAAGCATTAAAAACATCAGAAAACTGTAAGGCAGTCAAGGGGTTAATTGAACGCAGACGACGCACAGGGGCACGTGATTCGACTCCTGCGGAAGGGATTGAAGTTGAAAACAATACCGGTAAATGGTCTGAGATACCCGTCCAAACGATAATACTAAATCTAAAGTGTGTCCTTTTTCGTGTGTTGAGCCAAACATAAGACACTACTATTGGGCAGCCAATATCCACAAAATAATTTTATGGATTAAGGAACCAACATTGAGTTGGTGTGAGCTTGAAGCCAAATCCTGTCCTACTACTTCACTTTTGGCTTTGCTTCAGCTACATTACCCAGCCGGCCGACTCAATATTCGAATAACCCGATAGTTGTTTCCACCCTAAGAATATGGTCCCAGTTTAGAAGTGCTCATGAGCCGCGTTCACACCGGAGTACTTTTAACCGTACTTTTCGCGTTTAGTTCCGTTAGTACCCCTTATGTCGCGTTCACACCAAAAAGAGCACTTAATCTCGGGAACTTTTACCCCCATTTTTAGTGCTTGCTGAGAGATCGTACTTTCCTGGGGGAAAAAAGTGCCCCAGTTCTGGTTGGCTGGGCGAATTGCAAACCACGCCTCGTACAACTCTGAAATATTTTGTAGAGCCGCCATTGTATTATCCTCGCATTAGCATTATTAGCATTAGCATTCGCCCAGCGCACAAACGCAGAGAGACTAACTTATGGCAAAACAAAACATGGGAGCGGTGGAGATGAGGAGGTGTCGGCGTTCTGGCGATTTACTCGGAAGGCTTCAGGCTAGAAGCTGCTGGGACTCCCAGCAGCTTCTACTGAAGCCAGTCCCCAACTCCGGGGACTTCCGGCCGGTGGCAGTATACGCCGTGAAGTTGTTTGCTGCCTGCCAGTAAACCCAAAGCAGAAGAAGACGAAGTGACGTCAGCGGCTCATTTGCGTAATCTTCCCTCAGGGAAAAGTACTCCGGTGTGAACGCGATCTGTACTAAATGCCCTGGGGTCATAAGTGCCGGGGCTCTGAGTGCCGGCACTAAATACGGTAAAGTACTTGGTGTGAACGCGGCTATTGACTTCATGGATCCTCTATTCATAGTCCCATTCGCAACAACCATCTCTTTCTCCCCCTTGCACTGATGGGCCCTTCTCTACGTGGCAGACATTAGGCCTTATCAGAGTAAGGGACCTTTACATCAACAATGTTTTCGGTAGCTTTAGCCAACTCTGACAAATTTTGCCTCCCAGACTCATCTATTTCGCTACGTCCAGGTCCGTAACTGGGTTAAACTAATGGCGCGTTTCCACTACAGCGCGGAGCACGGTTTAAGAGGGCTGTGACGTCAGCGGCCCGTCTTTGGTTGCGTTTCCACTTGGCCTAGTACCGGCCGGCGGGTCCTAATTCACAGTTTTTCTGGCCTCATAAAATCGTGGGTCTAGGGCCAGAGACAACGAGGCTGAGTCGGGCTGAGTATGCTAAACTAGAGAGAGCATCGCTGGCAAGGGGGCTACAACTACAACAAGATGAACATATTTGACCGTGATTTAATTGTAATACACGTTTCAAAATGATGCCGAAGTAACAACATTCTGATACCGGTTAGTAAAAACCATGAATTAATGCTTTGTCAAGTCTGCAGACAGACGGCAGGCGAAAAACCTTTTAAAATGCGTGTTTTCTAAATGGAGATTGGCTAAGCTAACGCAGTATATGCTCCGACCGTCCACACTCACAACAACGGCCTATACAGACATAAATAAAGCAGCGACTGTATTCGCCATGACACAGGCAGTCTGTGGTTTGTACTTGTTTAACTTTTGTCTAGTTTCTGAACATATGAGGAGCTGTGAGCTCTGAGTGCTAACAGCTAACGGCTGTGTTGTTTTTCTGGGGTTCTCATTGAAGATGACGTCACGGCTCCGCCTACACTGCGATACTACCCCAGTTCCTAAACTGTAATGGAAATGCGCCATAAAGTGAGCCAGTCCTAACGAGGCCTAGCCATGCCGAGCGAGGCCGAGCGAGGCCGTGTAGTGGAAACGTGCCATAAATAACCCTTCCTTCCCCAATATCCCTCCGGATTCAATAATTGACTCAATTATGGACACTAACAACCGAAAAAGGTCTGGTTTCAAGAATTTACAATTCCATCTCCCGTCTCACAGAAACATCTCTTGGTAAAATCAAACAAGATTGGGAAGAGGAACTAGTCCAAGCAATAGATGATGATATCTGGGATGGCGCATTAGCAAGTGAACAATAGTACGTCTTGTTCCAAGCTCAATCTTATACAACTTAAAGTTGTCCACCGTATCTATTACACCAACTCCAAACTCTCCAAAATATACCCTAATGTCACGGATACCTGTAACAGATGCCACACGTCACCAGCAAACATGACTCATATGTATTGGTCTTGTCCTCGCCTACAAGGATACTGGACAAGCATTTTCAAACACCTTGCTGAGGCCTTGGACGTGGTATTGACACCATGTGCAGAAACTGCCATTTGTGGAATACTACCTGGCCACCAAATGATGAGGAGGAAAACTAAGGACAGTATAGCCTTTGCATCTATTTTAGCAAGTAGAAGAATACTACTAGAATGGAAATCCTTGTTAGCACCTAAAGCATCTCTATGGCTTAACAGGCTTTTTTTTCACGAAACTGTGTCTCAGGGCTTCTCAACATTGAATAAACTATGAATGTGTCATACTCACTTAACAGGAAGAAACTCAGCTAACTGACGATATGAACAATTTCTACCGAAACAAAACACAAGTCTCGCCAGAAGCGTCTAAATGATTCCTGAGCAAAAAAATGCTAACGCACTTAGCACAGAACTCTAGGTATAAATACTTTATTACTTATCGAAACTGCACAAACAAGATATTAGCTAGCAAGCTGAGATTCCACAGATTCCAGACGTATAAGTATCATCACTGAGCGATCAGAACTCGCGACATGGGAAGCAAACCCAGATAACACACAACGTAGCTTTAGGGGGGGGGGGAGAGGGGGATTTGGTTTCACACAAAAAAGATCTGGAACTAGTCCCTAGTTTGCGCGAACCTTTTCACCCCAGATAGTCCCTGCTAGAGAGGTGGTACTTTCCTGGGGAGGAAATGGTTCGTCGGTGTGTCGGCCACACTAACAATTTCTGATTGGCTGGGCGAATTGCAAACCACGCCCCGTAAAACTCAGATTTTTTTTTTAAGCTGCCATTTTATTTGCTTGCATTAGCATTAATCCAGCACACCAACGGAGAGAGACTCATTTATGGCAACACAAAATAAAACATGGGAGTGGTGGAGTGATGAGGAGGTGTCGGCGCCTAAGTGAGTGAGTTTTTATTGTGTTAAAGGTAGGGTCGGTAAGTTTGAGAAACCGGCTCGAGACACAGTTTTTGTTATATTCCATGGAATGCTCTTAACATCCCGATAGCAATGAATATCTTAAGTGCTTTGACAAATAATCCATAAAAAAATGTCATCTGTGGAAGCCGTAATACTGTAAAAAGCACGACCAATCATTTTAGCCGGCCCGGCTAAAATAACTGGATGGCCTACCTGCCTGTCAGCTTTCCATCTGTGCACAAACTTATCTCGTGCCCTCATTGGTCATGTGCGCGTTCGTGTGTGTTGGAGGAGGGGCTCTATAAGGAAGTGGCAGATTTTCTCCGGTTGTGTATTTTCAAATTCTAGCGATCTCGAGCCGGTTTCTCAAACTTACCTACCCCACCTTTAACTGTATGTATTTATGCTTTCTGGATTAACTTTCTCTTTTTCTCTGTCCATCTGTTTTAGAAACCGAAAGGAAGAGAGAGACGTCACAGCTGTCAGCAATGTGACAAATCCTTTACAAAATCTGGAGGTTTAAAGAGCCACCTGCTTGTTCATACTGGAGAAAAACCGTACAGCTGTGAAGAGTGTGGGAGAACTTTCACTACATCAAGTAATCTAAAAAAACATCAACGTATTCACACAGGAGAGAAACCGTACAGCTGTGAAGAGTGTGGGAAAGCGTTCACTCAATTAGGTCATCTCAGAATACATCAAGTTATTCACACTGGAGAAAAACCGTACAGCTGTGAAGAGTGTGGGAACACTTTCACTACATCAAGTGCTCTAAAAGCACATCAACGTATTCACACTGGAGAAGAACCGTATTGGTGTGAAGAGTGTGGGCAAACTTTCTCTAGATCAAGTGCTCTCAAAATACATCAACGTATTCATACTGGAGAAAAACCGTACAGCTGTGAAGAGTGTGGGAAAACGTTCACTACATCATATCATCTAAAAAAACATCACCGTATTCACACTGGAGAAAACCCGTACAGCTGTGAAGAGTGTGGGAAAACGTTCACTACATCATATGGTCTCAAAAAACATCTACGTATTCACACGGGAGAAAAGCCATACTGGTGTGAAGAGTGTGGGGAAACATTCACTGCATCAGGTAGACTCCAAAGACATCAACGTGTTCACACTGGAGATAAACCATAGTGGTGTTAAGAGTGTGAGAAAACATTTTCTCAAAGTATTCACCTTAACCTGTTAAGCACTGAGCCTGTTTTTCAGGTCTCAGGCTCGAAAATGACATTCCCAGAACAAATGACAATAACTTCCCTTCTAAAAGGGGTAAATTAATAATCTTTTTTCTCAAAGCAATGATAAATCTGTGAGTTGGATGTAGAAAAGTCAGAATCAATATAGATTTTTTTTATTTTAAAGTACATTCAAATTGAACTTAGTAAAAAAAGGTAAATTATAGTGTCCGCCCAAAAATAAACCATTACTTATAGTGAAAACCACACTTGAATGATGGGATAGTAGACTAAAAGCTTTAGGAATCTAAACTATAACATATAATAAGTACCCTGTATCAAGATTGATGCAAAACAAGTGACATTTGACCTTTTTAGAGAGGTTTAGCACAAAAAAACACCTCTGGGGTCATTTGGGTGGAAATGGGTGTATTTGCCGTTTCTCTGGAACCCATTGGTCGATTTTGGTGATTGACATCTCTTTTGAACCGTTGGAGCCAATAGAATCGAAGGGGAATTTCCACATACACACACACGTTACCATTGAGAAATGAGAGCTATGCGCACGCAGTTTGCCCAAAGCAAAATCTATTTTACACTCTGAAATCTGAAAACTTAAAACTAGGTTTATTGCTGATGGATTATCAGAAATCATTTCAAAGTGACACAGAGACATTGGATTAACCTATGGATTAACCTTCAGCAGCGTTTTTATCATTTTAATGCCATTGAAGACAACCTTTGATCAGAAAACAACAAAGGTAAGACATATTGCCGTGTTGGCTACCTAATGCTACGTGGTGTGATGTCTTTGTTAGCTTCTCATGTCGCGAGTTCGGATCGGTCAGTAATGATACCAATACCTGTCGAATCTGTGCAATCTCATATTGCTAATCGATATCTTGTTTGTGCAGATACGATAAGTACTAAGGGTATTTTAACGTGAGTTCTGTGCTAAGTGTTAGCATTTTTTCGCTCAGGGCTAATTCAGAGCCTTTGTTATTACCCTTATGTTTCGTTTTGCTAAAAATGGTTAACATAGTCTGATAGCTGAGTTTCATCCTGTTAAGTGGGTATGACACATTAATAGGTTTTTAAATGTTAAGAAGCCCTCAGACGCTATTTCTTGGGGGAATGGGGCTTAACAGGTTAAAGTCCACGAGCGAATCCACACCGCATAGTTTTGAACTATTGCGGCTTTCACACCAGCGCTTTTCCCTTTCTAGCTCCGAGCTAGAGCTTTTCTGGTTCAGCTCCGGTTTCCCTTTTCAGCTCCCGCTCTGTTCACACCGCCCAGAGCTGCCGCTGCTGCGTCATGACGTCACAGTTTACATCGCTGATTTTCTCCCCAACGGAGCTCACATCAACAACGGGGGGGGACTGCGTCGGGTCGATGATCGTGTTGCTTTTAATCATACGAAGCCAGATTAAATTAAATAACGATTTATCCAACCTTATACTTTTCTCCAGAGTGCCGTGGTTCATTGTTTATTAATGTGTTTCATCGGCATTTACCGACCGCTGCAGTGCTGGCTGCTCTTCCACGGGAGTTTATTCTCCCGTTAGCTCCGGGTTAGCTCACACGGCTCTAAAGTATTCACTGTCTGACTGTCACACAAGCAGCTGATACATATCCCCAGTTCCCCTTAAGTGAATGTGTGTCAGTCTGAATTGACGCTGTTTGGCATCACAACGCTGTTATGAAAGTTTCTCTGGTATAACATGGGTGATGTTAGCATAGCAACCGAAGCTAAACTGACTACTTGCTAAGCCGTGTTCTACAGGCACATTTTACCGGCGTATTTTTCATTATGATTCTACTTGTGATAGTCGGACATGACAACCTGTGCAGCCCATGTATTGATTCCATCCGATAGCTGCTATAATAAAAAACAAAACGTCTGCCTGCTCTCCACAATGATCAATAACAGCGAACGGATGGTCAAAGTAAGGTACAAATAAACAGAATCACACGAAGCCTGGTTAGTGTTGCCTGACTTTATAAAGTGTGTTTTTTTTTATTAAGTGTGTGGTTGCCTTCTAGTCACTTTGCTCAGCGCTACTGCTTGTAGGCAGGCATGACGAGACTCTTCAGTCGACCCATGTTCAGGGGAGGTGGGTTTAGTTTCCTGCACGCCTCGACGTAAGAGAGACGTAAGCGACGCCGCCTCTTAGCTCCGAAGCTCTTGCTTCTAGACCGACAATTTTTTGGAGCTGGAAGTGAACCGGATTCCGGAGCTATGACGCGGCGCCGCTGCGGTGTGAACAGGAAAAACCGGTACTTTTCAGGCTCTAGCTCCGAGTCGGAGCTGAAAAAGCGCCGGTGTGAAAGGGGCATAAGAGAGCCATGCTAGCTGTTTCCTCCTCCTGATGTCCTGAGAGCTGTATTGTTATATTTTAAGAGACTTTCTGAATTGAAGTCTGACTAACAGACTTCAATTCACAGTCAGTCTTGTTTGATGTCCCAGGACAAGCCCTGAGGTCCTCCTCAGCTTTTTAAATATCCCTAAAGTCCCCCAAAATAAAATGGGTGAGGCTTTTCTCCACTACGCTCCCAAACTGTGGAACACCAGGAAATATCAGAGAGGCTCAGTGGACATTTTTAAATGCCAGCTAAAGACACATCTCTTTAGATTAGCTTTTTATTAGCAACCCCCCACTTTAAATGGTCTTTTAGTCTTTATTATTTACCTACTTTTATATTGTTTCATTTATGATATAGGAAGGGTTTTATCTTATATTAGTCATTTAACAGTTTCAATAACATTTATTTTGACGTTGGTTTCTTTATATTTTAATCGTTTAACCTTTATTAGAATTATGATGTTTTTATTACTATTCATTTTAGTTTGTATTTCTGTTGTACCTATATGTTCACTTTACTTTATAGGGTTTTATATTGTTGCATCTATTCACCTGTCTTGTGTCTTATCTTTCCGAGATAAATCTTTTTTTTTTATTACTGTATTTCATTTGTTATTGTCATACCTTTTACCTCCTTGTGTATCTTAACCTGTTACAATGTTATATTTTGCTGCATGTATCTGTAAAGGTCTTAACATCTGAGGGGACTTTCTTGTTGTTTATTTTTAACACAAGGCCACAGAGATGCTGTTTTTCCAATTTAATTCATGTTTGTAATGATTCCTGAACTATGAAGAAATGTTTTACAATGCCATTTTTCAACCATGGTTTTCTTATAGACTTTTTATTCCATATATAAAATATTATATATCCAGGGTTAAACTGCTAGCCTCGTTAAGCTGCATTGAAGGAAATTAGCTTCACTGTTCATTAATCTGCAGAGTAGTTTCTCCAATAATCTGTTTGGTTGATAAAATGTTGTGACTTTAAACTTCTATTGTGATGTTTTTGATAGTTCCTGTTGAGTTAGCAGTCTGTTCTGGGTTGCAGTCGAATTGTCCAAAAATCAGCTCCTATCGTCTTTTCCTATCCACTATTCCTTGACCTCTGTGTGAAACGACACGGGGTTAATGCCTTTACTTATGTTTACCGACTGTTAAAAATCAGTTTTTATTAAAAAGTACAGGCTGCATATGTGTTCTCAGCCTTGGAGAAACTTGACATGTTTTGGTATGTGTCTGAACCTCTCTTTAGTGGTTCATTAATAAAACTGATATTTTGACATGTGCCTACTTTGTTCATGTGCTGTTGAGGTTAATTTCAGTGTGTGTTATAATGTATTTACAAAGTGTGAAGAGGAAGCAACTTTAAAATAGGGAACATATTCTTAGATAAAAATACCTAATTAGAGTCAAACTACTAGCTTATTGGTTATGAACAAGACTTCACAATAGGGAACATATTCTTAGATATAAATACCTCATTTTGAGTTATTTAGACACAATGAACACTTTTAGTTTCATGTCTTGTTACATAAGAATAGATCATATTTGTTAAGTGTTATCATGGGAGGATTACTATTCTTGTGGTACTGCCTTATTAGGCCCATATTGAGCAGAGCATATTAAGACCAAAACTCATGAACAACAACTTCCTTACTTGCAATAAATAAGCACTAATTAGAGGTTTATTGGAAAAACTCTCAACTAATGGCTTATTACTTGTAGAATATGGTCATGTAAAATAAGGCATTAATAAGTGTTTTATAATGACTAAGAGCCAATATACTGATAATATGCATGTTAATTAACAACTAGTTGATGGTGAGTTTGTGTACCTTAAAAGGGGACCTATCATGCAAAATGCACTTTAGTACGTCTTTTATACATGAATATGTGTCCCCGGTGTTCCAGGGAACTCACCAAGTGTCATAAAACACAACCCTCTCTTTTCCTCCATACCCAAATCTCTAAAAACGGGGCTGCAACGGATCTGATACAGATTTGAACATTTCTCTGACGTCAGGACGGAGGAGCTCCACCTATATCGCCAACTCTCCACCTATCAGGGGAATGAAAGGTTGCCGTGGCATGGTAACATGACGCTCGTAACTCGGCCCCCTCCTTTGCAGGGGGGCGTGGTCAGCTGCAGCGCATGCAAAGACAGGGGTGGAGGAGAGCAAAATAGAGCGAAATGAGACATGGCTAAAATGCATGATCTGTTTGGTATTTTGAAAAAGAAAACGTATAAATATACCTTACATAGGTATGGCCCTACAATATATTATTCAAATATAGCATGATAGGTCCACTTTAATATAAAGTGTTACCAATATTTTATATATGGAATAACAAGGCTATTAGGAAACCATGGTTGAAACACAGCATAGTAAAACATTTCTTCATAGTTCAGGAACCATTACAAACATGAATTAAATTGGAGAAACAGCATCTCTGTGGCCTTGTGTTGGCATAGTGTGAACGCTGGTTAGAACATACAAAACTGTTGAAATAATAAAGCTTTATTTATACAGCACTTTTCATACAGCACGTGCAGCTCAAAGTGTTTTACAAAATGGCGACACATCACAAGTTAAAAATAAACAACAAGAAAGTCCCTTCAGATGTTAAGACCTTTACAGATACATGCAGCAAAATATAACATA